GAGAGACAGAGAGAGAGAGAGACAGAGAGAGAGAGAGAGAGAGAGAGAGAGAGAGAGAGAGAGAGAGAGAGAGAGAGAGAGAGAGACATGGGGATGCATGACATATGCATGACGGTTCCTGTCCAACGGGTCAGTTTTCGCCAATCCCTTCCGGGTTTATAGGCTTAAAGAATTGTATAGTTTAAATAATTGTATGTTGTTCAGACATGTTCATCATTATAAACATAAATACAACTTATTCCCTGAAAAATGAGAAATGCAATAATCCAAGTATCTTGAGTACTTGGATATGCTATTGACGAATTATTAACAGGGACAGTAGGGTGATCGACTTAAAACAGGCTTGTCTATGACGAAATTGTCACAGACAGGTACTTTTTGTCTATGTCACGGTCATGGGCGTGGAAGTGGCTCACGCGCGGAAGGTGTGTCTTTAAGACTACAATGCTAATTTAAACTCATTTGAAGATAATTAATCGCAATCGAATGGTTGGCCACCCCTGATATAGAGTATATATAAATTTATATATATACTTACATACATACACGCACATATTATATATACATACATATACATATAATACATATATATATATATATATATTATATATATATATATATATACATACATTATATATATATATATATATATATATATATATATATATATATATATATATATATATATATGTGTGTGTGTGTGTGTGTGGTGTGTGTGTGTGTGTGTGTGTGTGTGTGCATATAATATATATATACATACTCATATGATTCATATCATTACGAAATTTACTGAACAAATTTATCCATGTATATGTACAAGGCAGAAAAAGATTTTACTCAAGCAAAAGAATTTATTAATACTAGAAATAGAAATAAAAGAAAATAGACTGATAAAGAGTGCACATATTAGTTAACTTAAGCCTTACAAAATCTATTTCTAATTTATCTATTTCTAATGAGAGAAATCAATGATACAAAGAATATTTTTCTTTCATATTGGCTTTTCTCTTCCTTTCTATTTTTATTTCGACTTCATTTTCCGTTTCTTTTGATATCCTTTGCCCCCATTTTTTTTGTGTCTTTTATTCACCATCTTTGTGAACATTGTCTGGTTCTCTTTTATTTATTTTATATTTCGTCTCCAATTTTTTTCATTTCATACTTTCTTCTTTGCTCCTTCTATAATATTTTTTTCAATCTACATTTCCTTTTTAGTTTCTTTCATATATCCTCTTCTTGTCTTCTTTCTTCTCCTTCTCCTTCTTCCATCTCATTCTCCCTTTTCTCCTTCTTCTCATTTTCATTCTCATTCTTCCATCTCATTCTCCCTTTTCTCCTTCTTCTCATTCTCATTCTCCATTTCCTCCTTCGTCTTCCCCTTCTCCTTCTCCTCCTCCCCTTCTTCCTTCTACCCCTTTTCCTTCATTCCTATCTTTATCTTTGTCGACGCCAATTATCGTTCCATTCTTCATATAATGCGTCTGATTCTATGCTTTCACAACCGTCTTTAGTGGAGGGAGAAGGCGCACCTGTAAAAAAAAAAGAAAAGAAAAAGAAAAAAGAAAAAAAAAATCAGTTAATTGGTAAAAGGTTAAAAAAGGGAGAAGACAGAATGAATGGTAATGGTGAATGGGAGATAATTAGAATATTACGGATGATTATAATGATGATAATGATGAGAAAGACCTGTAAACAAAAATCATATAATTGGTAAAAGGTAAAAAAAAGGGAGAAGGCAGAATGAATGGTAATGGTGAATGGGAGATAATTAGATGATTGCGGATTATGGTAATGATGATAATGATAATAATAAGAAAGACCTGTAAACAAAAAGAGGAAAAAAATCAGTTAATTGGTAAAAGGTTAAAAAAGTGAATAATGGTGAATGGGAGATAATTAGATGATTGCGGATTATGGTAATGATGATAATGATAATAATAAGAAAGAAGCAAAGGTGATAACAATGATAATGATTAGTACTATCATAATGATGATAATGATATGTCAAAGATGAACATTAATAATACAATCATAATAGTAATAATTATAACAATAATGATAATAGTTATGATAACAATAATAATAAAGATAATACTAATAACAATACTAATAATATCAATATTAATAATAGTATCATAATAATAAAAATTACTATATTCATCATTATCATCACTTCCATCATCGCCATCATTTTACTAATAATGATAATAATGATACAAATAAACAAAACAACAGCAAAAACAACAACACCTCACCATCATCGTAACAACAACACCAGCAAAAACAAAAACACAAAAAAATCTAAAAACAGAGAACCTAACAGCAAAAACAACAACATATCGTAACAACAACAAGAAAACAATTCTAAAAAGAGAGCACGTACCTTCCTTATGCTTCCTGTACCAGATATATACTGCCTCGACCGAAGCCACGACCAAGGCAACGACAAGGAAGACGATAAGCACTGCCCTCTGGATTTCCGAAGAGGAGGACACGGGGG